ACTGGAATAACAAATGCTGCATGAGTTGTCAGGTTCGGAGTCACTGGCTGGAGCGGACCTGACTTTAATACGTCATCCCAAAATAGAAGCTAATATCTTAATTTGATCTTGAATTAAAAATGTTATAAAACCTCTTAAAAGTTTTTATCACAGAAGAGGCAGCGCTCATTCTGCCTTCAGTCTGATGGCGCGCCAGAGTTTGCGCAGCGTGCGTGCTTATTGAATCTGTGTGTGTGTGTGTGTGTGTGTGCGTGCGTGCGCGCTTATTGAATCTGTGTGTGTGTGTGTGTGTGTGTGTGTGTGTGCGCGTGCGCGGCACAGCTCCATGAGCCGCTCCAGTCACCGCGTCTCGTTATCGGCGCTATTTAAACCAATGTTGTAAAATGACTTCTGCCCAGCCCAGATGTGCTCACAGGTGCACCCGTGAGCCGTGGTTCCGCTGGAACGCGTCTGACCTCTGACAGACGCACTCTGAACTTCAGATCTTCAGCGCACTGTTAATAGCCTGAATGGGAATCATTTCTTGATTTATTTAGTTACATCCACAATGTTCTGTGTGTGAGGTTTACAACGTCAGAACACCTGCATGAGACAGGTGTTAATTACAATCTGCCAGAATGACTCGCCACCTTCAGATTCCTCCAACACCGTTAAAAATGATCAAATACGGAACATATAGGCGTGCGCAGGCCAGAGTGCTGAAGCTCGGCGCATTGTTATTATGAAGCTAGGGCACATGTGGAGGACACTCGCGCAAAAATATACTTGTTTTCAATTACATTTATTGGGCCCACTTACTTTTTCTTAGGCCCACCCACAAATGAGTTTCTGGCTACGCTAATGGTGACATATGAGACTTCTCTGAGCTCCGCAGCCATTACACTTTTCACCTCGCGCACCCCCTAGCGGCAGCTCGCGCACCCCCGGGGGTGCGCGCACCACACTTTGGGAGTCCCTGCTCTAGGATAACAAAACTTCCCCCCCTCTAGAGACCCCGACCCCGGACGAGTTACGAGTGAAAGCAGCATCGCCTGGAGCTGGTGTGACCCGTCTACAGGGCTTTGCATCCGTATCCCAGGTTACCCTCGCCTCGGCCACAGACGAGTGGAGTCCAGGACAGACTTGGACATATTTGAACACCAGGACCTAGAAACTTTCACAGGATCAGTACTGGACTACATCAAGTTCTGTACTGCAAATGTGACAGTGGACAAAAGCATTCGGGTTTTTCCAAATCAAAAAGCCTGGATGACCAGCGAGGTCCGCTCACTCGTCAAAGTCCGTGATGCCGCCTTCAGGTCAGGTGACAGGGCTCTGTACAGGGCTGCTCGAGCTAACCTGAAAAGGGGGATTAAAAAAGCCAAGTCAGACCACAAAAGGAATATCGAGTCCCACCTGTCCAGCAACAACACACGAGAGGTATGGCAGGGAATGCGAGACATCACCAACCACAGAAGCAGCACTGCAAAAACTGAAAACCTGAGTGTGCAGCTGGCAGAGGAAATAAACAGCTTCTTTGCCTGCTTTGAAACACCACAGCAGCAACACTCATCTGCTTCAGCCCTGCTACCATCCTCATCCTCACCTGGTTCTTACACCGCTCCACTCACTGTAACGGAGCACGATGTCAGACGTGTGCTCCTAGCAGTGAACCCCAGGAAGGCAGCCGGTCCAAACGGAGTACCTGGCAAAGTACTAAGAGCATGCGCACACCAGCTCAGCCTCATCTTCACCAGACTCTTCAACCTCTCACTGGATCAGGCAGCCATCCCGTCCTGTCTAAACTCAGCCACAATCATCCCAGTACCGAAGAAGTCTCCCATCTCCAGCTTAAATGATTACCGCCCTGTGGCCCTCACACCGGTAATCATGAAATGCTTTGAGAGACTACTCCTTCAGCACATAAAGGATAACCTCCCCCCTCAATTCGACCCCCACCAGTTTGCATACCGTGCAAACAGATCAACAGAAGACGCCATTGCCACAGCCCTCCATGCTGTGCTGAGTCACCTAGAGCAGCGGCAGAGCTACGTCCGAATGCTCTTTGTGGACTACAGCTCAGCCTTTAATACAATCATCCCGGACATCCTCATCAACAAACTGGTCACTCTTGGCATCCCTCCTCTCACGTGTGCCTGGATAAAGGATTTCCTCACAAACCGGCCCCAGACTGTGAGACTTGGCCCTCACCTCTCCTCCACTCGCACACTGAGCACCGGCTCCCCACAGGGCTGGGTGCTGAGCCCCCTCCTGTATTCTCTGTACACCCACGACTGCAGTCCGACCCACAATAACACTCTCATCATCACGTTTGCTGATGACACCACGGTAGTCGGACTCATCTCGAAGGGAGACGAGGCAGAGTACAGAGAAGAAGTCCTGAAGTTGGCAGCATGGTGTTCAGAAAACAACCTGTCCCTGAACACCAAGAAAACAAAAGAGCTTATTGCCGACTTCAGGAGACACAGCACCGACTTGGCCCCCCTCTACATCAACGGGGAGTGTGTGGAGAGGGTCCAAACATTCCGGTTCCTTGGTGTCCTCATCTCTGCTGACATCTCCTGGGCGGAAAACATCTCAGCATTCATCAAGAAGGCCCAACAGCGGCTGCACTTCCTGAGAGTCCTCAGGAAGTACAAACTGAACTCCGACCTGCTGCTGACCTTCTACCGCTCGTCCATTGAGAGCCTGCTAACCTACTGTATCACGGTATGGTACGGCAGCTGCACCAAGGCGGATAGAGTGAGGCTTCAGAGTGTGGTAAAGACAGCACAGAAGATCATTGGCTGTCCTCTCCCCTCCATGATGGATATTTATTCCTCCCGCTGTCTCAGTAGGGCAGCAAACATCTTCAAGGACAGCTCCCACCCTGGCTTCAACGTGTTCAGACTGCTTCCCTCAGGGAAGCGCTACAGGTGCATTAATGCAAAAACCCACAGACTCAAAAACAGTTTCTTCCCCAAAGCAATAACCACCTGAACTCACACATGCACCGATAACAGAACCCCCCCCCCCCCCCCCCCCCACTTCCCACTTCCTCCATTGACCACCACTATCTATTGATACCAAATTCCATGTGCAATAATTATATATACATAACATTACTGTCCATATGTACATAGCGCTGCAGAATTGTACCCCCCACCCCCCCAAGTATGTTTTTTTACACTGAGTAGGAGATGCTCTGTATCTCACTTTACACCTGTAAAGGCATTCTATTCTATTCTATTCTATTCTATTCTAGGACTAGGAGAGTGTGGAGAAGATTTCTCCTTGGCCAACACTTTTCCCTGGACTCAGATCCGAGAGGTAAGTCCAGAGGGCAGTGCCCACTTTCAGCTATAAAGTCTGGCATTGTTGCTCGCGCAGTTGCAAAAGACTTGCAAGCTGAAGCTTTGCTTGATTAAATGTATTTAGTCAAGGGGTTGCCACCTGTTGGATCACAAATAAATGCATTAAATGCGATGCGCCGATCGTTGCTCTGACTTTCCAGTTAAAATTAGAAAGAGGATCTGACGGAAATGGAATAAGCAAGCAAAATAGAAAGGCAGAGGTGAAGCTTTAGAAGAGAAACCTTTAATCGTAGAGGGAGATTAATAACCTCTCTAAAAGTAAACCCACGTCTTTTACCACAGTTTCTGCTCGTTAAACAACAACAGACAGCTACAGCTCATAAGCTTGACTCTCCCATATTCCAGTTAGAACTGACTAAGCTCCTCAGATTAAAAGCCAAACTTCTTCAAGGAACCAGAGAAGTCTAGTTGCCTTCATTTGAACCCTTTGGATTACCATGACCTGGATGACTGACATCCTTCAACATCAAATTGAAACATTAGCTTCTATTTTGGGTTAACGTATGAAAGTCCGCTCTGCAGCAGCCTCTTCATGAGCTCACCACAACTCATGTTAATGCAGAAGCATGGACGTAATTTTCACTTTAGAATTTGGGGGGGGGGGGGGGGGGGGGGCATGGAGGAGGGGGGAGGGGTATCTTTACAGTATGCTCTAATGGGAAACAGGCTTCAACACAAACAGTTGTTTTCCGCTTGGTCCTAGAGCTCAGCCAGTGTTAATTTAATATAGCGTAATATTGTTTTGGATGGTAAAAAGTGCAAGGGTCAAAACTTGACTTTGGAAAAAGTGGGGGGGGACATGTCCCCCCTGTCCCCCCCCAAAATTACGTCCATGTGCAGAAGCATTTGTTATTCCAGTCCCTGTGGCAGCAAATCGCGGATTCAGCCAGAACATAAAACAGCAACAAGTCTGTCTGAGGCAAAGTGAACCTCACGGCTGTAGATGTTTCAGTTTTTCCCTGGAGACATACGATCACGCACAAGCAGATGACCAGTTCAGGTTTTCACGGAGCAGAAGGATGGTGAGAGAGCGTTCTGGCCTCAAGCGGAAGCATTACATTGCATTGTTTACCGAGGCACTTTAAATATCATTTCATTGTATGATGGCCTGTGTAAGGAAAAATAATGTTTAATCACATGTATTCATGTTTATGGTTATTCATCAGTATGCTTTGTGAAAATAAGGTTTGATCACACATGTATTTGTATGCTTATAATGAATCACCTGTATGTTAATCCCCATATTAATCATTTCAATGTTCGGGTGTTACTCACGTCCCTTTGAACTGAACGATGCATATACCAAATGGATGACTCACCTGTGACTGGTACATTCTAGCACTGAGTTAGACCTATATCTGATTTATGCAGGCTGATACTGCTAGAAGTTTCAGCTTGTGCTGAAGGAGATTCTCAACAGGCGAAGGCCAGGTGCAGACTAGACCATCTAAAAGCTGTTCAACGGGAAAAAGCCAGGGCGTGGGTCATCGCAGCCTTAGCAAAGGAAGATAGGGTAGGAAGCAGATGGGGCAATGTGTCTCCCATCTTATCTGGAGGAGGGAGTGAAAGCAGAGAGGGGTGTCAGTTACCATGGCAACACGTGATGGCCTTCAATAAAGTTAGGGAGGGGTCAGCGTGAAACTTTGCAGCATGAGAGGAAGAATCAAAAGGTGTACATCTTGTAAAATATTCAGATTTGTCACAGGGACTGGGTGGCAGAATCTCTCCTAATGCATGTGGAAAATAAAGTGTGATGATTGCAACATAAGGCAACTTGTGGCTTACTTCTTGTCCCACGCCCTGGTTGTAACTGCCTTCTATAATTTTGTACATAACTGTAACAGAAATGTTGTGACTGTATCTTTTGCTGCCTCTTGGCCAGGGCTCCCTCAAAACTGAGAACTTTAATCTCAATGGAACCTTCCTGGTTAAATAAAGAATATAAAAATAAGTAAATAAAATGTATTTAGATAATGAAACGTCAAAAAGGGAAATTATTTTACTTGTTTGTCAGTGCATTTGAAGAAACAACTTAAAATGTTATTTATTTAACCAGATGAGTCGATAGAGAACTCATTCTCATTTACAACAACGATCTGGCCAAGAGGCAGCAGCAACAGACACATAATTAGCTTTACATCAAAGAAAAACAAATGAGATAAAAACAAACAAGATTAAAATAAAGTAAATTACAGAATTATTATAACAGGTGTAAAACTAACTTGTCTTTACTTTAAGTAATTGTTTGAGGAAGATATCACATGTTATGTGTGTTTTATTAGTCCCATTCTGAACACACAGGTGTGTTTTATTCTGCTCCAGCAGGTGGCGCTAGTGCACCTTTACGCTGGTCACCGACCACCTGAAGAAGAAGAAACCGGAAGCTGCTAGCAGAGCTAGCTTGTTGTTCTGGTGTGTGAGGAGAACATTTGAGGCTCTGCAGTAAAAATGTCTTCACTTCAGTCTCTGGGAGAGTTGATCAGCTAAAGCGACTAACTGCTGCTGCTGCAGAAATCTTCTCACCAGGCTGTGGAAACTTTCTTCTCCTCCTCAACAACTTGGTGGAGTTCTTTCCAGAACCAGAGAAGATATTCTGCGGTCTTCGTGACAATCGGAGCTCCAGGATCAGGTTGTGGGTGAGAAAAGCTTTTCTATAGACTTCCTGCCCTCTGGATCTGCTGCTGTTCCTTTGGCCTCTCTGAGAAACGCGCTCGTTTTGCTGCTTTCATCAGATTGAAGAGGTTCCCTCTATCAGACTCGCTCATCTGAGTTGGTCATGATGCAGGATCGCTGCTCGCTCTCTCATCCATCCTGCTCACACTCTCCGACGGAAAAGCCCCGAATCTGAATGTGACTCTGGAGGAAAAAGCGGTTAGCTCTACTCCGTGAACTCTGGTGAGCAAAGGTCCTCTTTTCCAGACTGGATCTGTCCTCAGCTGATCAGAACCAAAGCGTTGGATCTTTAATCTCCTGCGTTGTTCTGAAGCAGCATCTTAATCAGCTCTCCTGCTTTGTTTCTATTGCAGCTGTTAGCTAAACACGGCTAAAGAAAACCTGCTACCACTTCAGGATCATCCATCAGCTGGGACTGATTCATCGTGTGTTCTTCACCACCTGGACCTGGACAGCATGGACACAGGTACTGGTGGATGAATGAATGAATATATGGTCAGTCTATGGTGGGACATTACAGTGAAATTATGAGAATGAGGTTCAATCTTTAAAATAATGATCTGTATATGTTTAGCACTACTGGGGTTCTAAACCCCCCAAAGCGTTTTACATCACAACCAGTCATTCACTCATTCACACACTGTTGTAGAACCTTGTAGTTTTAGAGTGATTAGATCTCTCTAATGAATGATTTTTGAAGCCAAGTATAGTTAAAGTCCCAAAGTCATCGTCACACACTGGTGAAGTTACGTCCTGCATTCGACCCGTCCCCATGGGGAGCGGTGAGATGAAGCTGTGGGAACTATTTGGTCTTCTGTCGGGTTTCAGTCACTACGAGAATCAGTCAGAGACAGGAGAGGTTTTCATCGTGTTCACAACCTACCTTTGTTGTAGCGTCAGTCACGCATCATCATTTGACCAATCACAGTTGGGGAGACAGCCTGCTGCAGACACGACGGCAGCGGCGCTGACAGCACGTATGACTGCTGTTGCTTCAGCACGTCGCTGTGGTTTAGAGCTTAAAGGCCCAGTGTGTAAAAACATTCGACTCTTCAGCGCCACGCAGTTCAGAGTAAGTATTGCAGCTCCGGTAGCCCACACTAGGGTTGGGCTGTTTTTCCATTCGCCCATCATTAGTCCAGTAAATGACGATGGGCCGTGGTGTGTGCGTGTGACTGGTTACGGTATGATTCACTGACTGATTTGCGAACACAGAAGAAGTCTAAACATGGATGTTTTTATGGATGTGCAGCACAAATTAGATTTTTCTTTTTGTTTAACTCACTCACTGCCAGCCGTTTCCTGATCAGAAAAGCTCTTTGCTGCCAGCGTTTTTCAGCGTTTTTACTGTTTTTTTAAGAGTCACAGAACGTTGCTCTATGATGATGTCAACGCCAAAACTACCAAAACAAAGAGTAGACTCACCTCTTACAGGAAGAATCCGCGCGTTTTGACCGTTATCTGTTCTTTCATAAGCCGTTGTTGAATTGTGATCGGCAGAAGCTTTTCCGGTTCTCGCCTCACTTTTTTTTTTTTACAGCAGCGTCCCAAAACGATCTCCTAACACACACGTGTCAGACACCATGTAGCCCGTGGAGCATTTTTATGTGGCCCGCGAGATAATTATCAAAAATATATTAAAACTGACCCACTGGCCGATTTTACCGCAAAGACTACAACTCCCATGATGCTTTGCGGTGTTAGCGCGGAGCCGAAGCGCCCCCTCCGTTGTGTTTTTTCCAGCGTCTGCTGCCGGTGTCTGCAGCTCCGCGGTCTCGGACAAACTAAACACTCCTCTCACTCAGCGCCGAGTTCACTCAGCTATTTTCTGACGTTGAAGCCCAGAAACGGAGATTCTAGCCGCTCAGTAATGTGTTCACGACTGAAAGAGAAAGTTTTCCAGCTAACGTCCAGACAGAGCTGATATAACTCCAGCGAGCAGCGACACGCTCAAACCAGCATGACTCTGTGGCTGCTGTAGTTGTTATTTTTCCTCCCCGACACACAACGACGTGGTCAAGCTGCTCAGACATGTTCATCAGCACAAACCTATGTGAGCACCTGTTGTCATCTAATGTTGTCGTTATTATGATGAAGATGAACAAAACAACAGGAGTCTCCTCCTCAGCTCAGATCAACCCCATGATGCAGGTATCTGGCTGGAACAGGTGAACATCCCAGTAAACCAGTGGAGCAAACTGAGCTTTAAATATGTTGGTTTTATGCTCTTTTTCTGCTCCAAAACATGAAAGTTAACAGGTGAGATGTTGCATTTTCATTTAAGATAAAATGATATTTTTATTTTGTTGTTGGCCCGTGAGAAAAGATTTAACCTACAGTAAACAGGAAGTGGAAAGGCTGCAGATAGATGAATAGAATAGAAAATCCCTTTATTGTTCCTCAGTGGGGAAAGCTAGACGTCACAGCAGCGATGACACGTATTACAGGAGAAAAAAGGAGAATAAAAATAAGAAAAATGAATAAACAACAAGAAAACATAAATCCTGAACAGATTTTAAAAATGCTGAATATACCACAAGTAATGAATACCACTGATGCCTTTTATTTAAAACTGACTTGCTCGTGTGTAATCTGGTTATTCCACATTCAGTGTTAATGCAGAAATAAGTTTGTTTCCAAATTAAAAGGTTCTAAATTGCATAAATGTTGATAAAGAAAATGTGCAAATTTGCCGTCACTTTTTCAAAAAATATTAAGTTTGGCCCTCGACTCCGTCCCAGATTTTCATTTTGGCCCCGTGTGAGTTTGAGTTTGACTCCCCTGATCTAACACGTGGACTTTCTGCTTCCTGATCACGTGACGTGTGACGTACGCGGATGAAGATCGGCTTTAGAGCTGGGATGTTTTTTCTCACGGTGCGGGGGCTCGTTCCGACGCCCACACAGTAAAAACATGCCAATGACAGTTAAAGAGTTGTTAAAGCGTTGAAAGGAAGTAGGGCTGAAACGAATCATCAAATGGTTCGATTCATTAAGTTCCTCGATTCCTTTTTTTACTGATTCGAAGCTTCGTTAAACGTGCGCTCCACAGTCTGAACACGTTTTACTGGAGCTCTACGTGGTGATCTCGGTGCTGTGGTGGAAAAAAGAGAAACCAGCAACGACGGAAACCATCGTTAGAGGCAGAAACGGTCCAACGTTTGGATCAAGAGTTAAACTACAAGCAAACTACTGAATTGGCTGACTGAGTGGAGGTGGTTCATAGATGTCGCAACCTTTATGTCAGAGGGGACCCCCCCCCCCCACACACACACACACACACACACACCTTTTGTTCTTTCCATTGTTCTCAAAGAAATCCATTCCACTTGATTCATTAGAAATGACTCAGTCGGCTGAAGTCCGTTCCACGTTTTCCTGGTTGCTCTGCTGCACGCATGGTGGGCGTGACTGACATGGTTGTCAACAAAGTTAGAAAATAAAAGACCGAACGAACCAAAGTGAAACTACAGGCTTGTGGAAGCTGGAGGAGGAGTCAGTGCCATTGCTATCCCATAATAAGCAGTGTCCTTGTCTGATCCCTCCACAGACACGGGGACATGAGGACATTTCTCACAAAGAAGCATAAAATAAGTAAAACTGTCCAGAATGAATGCTGACAGATGCTTTGAAACCCTCCGTCCCCCAGTTCTGGTTAGAACTGGGTTTGCCCGCGGGTCATCTGGGTGAGGCCACAGAACCTGCAAAGACTCTCAAAAGGTCTGGAAAACGACCGGTTCGGCTGGCTCCGGTGAAGTGGAGACGGTCATACTGGGAAGTTTCGGTAATGGAAACACACCAATTAGTGCCTGGCTGTCCTATAAAAGACACCCATTCCTCCTTTTTGTGTGAGGATGCCAGCTGGTCCTGTTCCCCTGCAGATAGCTCATCAGTACTTAATACAAGTTGTTTATTGTTTATCTACGTTGGTGTTAGTTTGGGATGTTCTGATCATACCAGCAACACCTGTGTGAACCCTGTGTGATGCACTTGGGGTTCTTCCCCTTTTCCTTCATGCTGTGCAGGACAGCAGCAACAATGTAAAACAACATGTCCGCCTAACTTTAACTCTGTCTGCGAGAGTGATGTAAGCTTTGAGTCCTGCAATGAAAAGCTCCAGCTCCTGGGGAAGCTGATCACAGCTGGTTTAATAAGATGTGAAGAACAACATCTGGGTGGAGTGAGGTGAGTTTCCAGGGATCGCTGCAGAGATAAACACCTCCCAGTCAGACGCAGCTACGCTCACCAACACCCGTCTGTATGAGCGTCAGAAGGCTCGGCTAATAACCGGACCATAAGGAAGTTCATGATGCTGGAAGAGCAGCCTTTCTCTGTGGTGGAAGAAGAACCAAGTTTATTCATACAGCACGTGTCCCAGACTGAGGTCACACAAGGAGTTACAATAAAACGCTGAACACTAAAGCTAGAACATAAGACAATGAGTAGAAAACAACAGGCTCCGCCCACTGCTCAATCACCAAGCAACCCACTACAGGACATATAATAATAACAACTACAATAATAATCATTATAATAATATAATAACAACAATAAATCTCCCAAAATGCTAATTTGTGAGGTTCCTTTGCTTTGTAGTGCTTTAGCCTGCTGAGAGCTTCAAAGTTAAAGGTTGTTACTGACAGCAGCTACATCTAAGTGTTTATTCATTTTCCTTTTGACTGAATAGTTGCTGATTTGATCTTGGAGACGTTTCTCCTCACATCAGCTTCAGATCTAAAGAATGAGTTGTGAGTAGGTGTTGCGCTGACCTTAGAGGTGTGGCTGCCCCTCTCTATTGTTCCTCATCCTTTCCCTACATGCTGACTCCGTTGCGCGTTGCCAGCGCGTGACCGCAGATGGAACCTGCGTGCGCTCCGGCGCGCGCCTCGCCAGGTGAGCAGAATTGAGGCAATTAAGAGCTCGTGCTCGGGGGAAATGAAGTACAGCCAAAATGTCTGCAACAAGCTTTTGCCCAGCGCGCGGCAGACTGAGAGGAGTGCAGAGCGAACACAAATGGGTACACTGTGAGGAGGAAGACTTTGATCTTGACGGGCTGTCGGTACGCTCTTGGATTCACGTCTTTATATGGACTCTTTATCCGTCTGGGTGTGAATGGAATTTACTGAGAGGAAGTGTGTTAACGTCTGGAGTGCCAGAAATGACTGCAGGAATAATAGTAAATTAAATGAAAGCAAGTTAAGGCAGAAAACAGATGTATTCATGTATTTAATTATTTGTCTGGTAAAATCAGTCTTTTTTCATCCTTGCTTCATTGTGAAATGATTCATCTCTGAATTAGCAGCCAGTACTTGTAAAAGCAGATAGAATAGTACTTGTCTAAAACTAGACGCCCAACTGAAGGTTACTAAAGATGCTGGTGTGTTCTCCTTGCTCTGTATTACCTGTAACAGCATTGAAGTTTATCTGCATGATTTAGTTACATGTTTATTTTTGTTTTTTAAAGCTTTTCCACCTGACTGGTTCCTGAACCCGGACTGATCTCAGTACTGGTCAAATAAATTGTTCTGAGTGAAATCCAAAGTCTGCTCTTTCCAAGTGTCGGCACCTCACAGTGGAAGAAAACACTTGACAGTAGGAGGCTTAGAAGTTCTGGTCAGAACCAAACACGCTGATTGTGATGGAAGTTTTTATTGATCCTAAAGTAGAAATCTGTTTTTATCTAAATGAAGTTCATGTTCTTGTTCCTTTTCCCCACATCATGTAGCCGGTATCACTCGTGGTGTAAATATAAAGGTATGGTGGTGTGTAACATCATGTGTCTGTGTTTCCTACAGATGTTCAACAGCTGGTGCTGGTTAAAGAAGAAGATCCTGAAGAACAGAGTGCTGGTGTGGACCAGCAGGACCCAGAACACCTCCACATAAAGGAGGAACAGGAGGAGCTCTGGACCAGTCTGGAGGGAGAGCATCTCTGTTTGAAGGAGGAGACTGAAGCTGTCGGGTCTCCTGTTACTGCTGTTTCTATAAAGAGTGAGGATGATGAAGAGAAACCTCTGGTCTCACAGCTTCATCAGCAGCAAATAGAAGACAGAGATGTTCCAACCAGCAGCTCAGCTGACCAGATGACCGCAGAAACTGGTGGAGGAGCAGGAACTAGCAGGAACCCAGATCTGAACCCTCATGAACAAACATCTGATTCTTCAGAGACTGAAGTTAGTGGAGATGATGAAGATGTGAATCTGGACTCTGAGCTGTCAGACTCTGGGTCTGAAACTGGAGATGAAGATGATGACTGGAATGAGAGCAGGTCTTCTGAGTCAGATGGTAAGTCTGTCAACAAGTTCTTCACAAGTGGTCTCTCCAGAGACACGTGAGGGAGACGAGTCATCCAGCAGTCAGGTCTTCAGGCTGTTTGGTTCATAAGAAATGTGTTAGAGTGAAGCAACATGTAGACTCGTGCAGGAAAGTCCAGAAGAAACCTAAATCATTTAGTCATGATGACTGGAGAAAGGTTTACTACAAATGTAAACAAACAAATCACATGAGAGTCCACACATAGCAGCTGCTGTTCCAGAGTATGGGCCAGCCTCATCCCACCCATACTCTGCTTCTGGCCGCTAACAAGATGGCGCCTGTGTTTGGAATAGCCACAGGTCCGTTTCCACATTCCCGCCTGGCCACGGGGCAGCGCCGTGTCTCCGTCCATGTTTCCTCGGGTCTGTTTATCCTGGTTCTTCAGTGGTTTCCCTTCCTGTTCCCTCCATGAGTGGACTTTACTCACCGTGGATCTGACCTGCTAACTCCAGCTGTTTCTGCTTCTGGCAGGATCCTGGTGTAGGTACCCAGGGAGTCCAGATGCTGCAGGATGAAGTGTAGAGCCATGCTGATGGTGTAACGTGATGGAAGTGGTTACTTTTACTGAATGATCAATAAGATGTGATATTCCATCTAATTATAAATGATCAATCTTATTGGTCTTTGAATATTTGATTTAATACGACCTTAGGAACACACACTTCATATTAATTCAGACAGATTCAAGAATATAGTTTATAAAAATGAGTTTAATTCTATATTTCTAAACTAATGATTACATGACTGTTAGGGATTGTATTAATAACCCAATACCTGCAGCTGGAGAGAGAGGAGAGACAACAAGCAGACAAGTCACCAAACTGCAATCAGGGGCAGAAGCTCAAGGCAACTGCCCCGAGTTTCTGCTCTCAGAGTTTATTTATAACAAAGATAAGACTGTGTGTGTGTGTGTGTGTGTGTGGGGGGGTGGGGGGGGGTGGGGGGGGGGGGATTCTATCAGGCATAGAATAATACATTCAGTTAATAATAAACATAACATTTCCATAACATAATCCCTCCTGTTTATCCGAATAGGATAACCAAACAAAAAGAAAACAACAACACAAAGAACTAATAAAGTAAAATAATAAAATAAAGAACAAATAAAATAATAAAACACGATAAGGCAAACACAACTGACAATAACATCAAACAGCAGTTCACAGAGATACAAGTGAGATCATGGAAATCAGTTAAATCAACACCATCATAAACTAAAGAAGAGCTATTTCATACATCTTGAAGTGAATTTACTGTGATGCAACAATTCTACATTTAGAGCAGTTCCTGTAAAGAGATTGGGAAGGATTAGCAAAACCATATAATATACAGAAAACCTCAGTAGAGTTTATTGTGTAACAATGTGTAATTACACAGAGCAGTGTGTGATGGGGAATGTCTGTTCAGGAGTGTGGCTAGATAGGGGGGAGCACCACCCTGGAAGAAATTGTAAACAAAGACGAGGAGTTTACAGTGTGAACGATAACAGACCGGAAGCCAGTGCATGGACGTCAAGCTAAACAGACAGGGTTAAAAAAAATATGATTGACCTTTTCCCCCCATCACTTTCATTTTTTAAATAGCAATTAATAAACATTCAATACCATTACAATTTCCTTTGATTTAATTTTAAATAAATATTTAGAGTGCCCAGATAGCACATAAACAATGCAATTTAACGGTTTTCTTAAAGTAGGAACTTTTAACCTGTGCGGCCAGAGTGCTCTCCTTCCTTCTGCTCTGCATAAACCTGAACTGATCACCTACTTGTGCGTAAACAAATGTCTATAGGGGAAAACATGGAAAAGATATAGCCATGAGGTTCACTTTTGCCTCAGACCGACTTATTGCTGTTTTATGGTGTGGCTGAATCTGCGATCCGCTGCCACGCGGACTGGAATAACAAATGCTGCAGGTTCGGAGTCACTGGCTGGAGCGGACCTGACTTTAATACGTCATCCCGAAATAGAAGCTAATATCTTAATTTGGCCTTGAATGAAAAATGTTGTTATAAAATCTCTTAAAAGTTTTTATCACAGTGGAGGCAGCGCTCATTTCTGCTTTCAGTCTGACGGCGCGCCGGAGTTTGCGCCGTATTTGTTCCTTTTTTCTCTGTCTGGATAAATTAAACTTGTAAGCGCTCCGTGCGTGCTTATTGAATCTCTCTGTGTGTGTGTGTGTGCGTGTGTGTGCGCGTTTGTGTGTGTGTGTGTGTGTGCGCGTGTGTGTGTGTGTGCGCGTGCGCGTGGCACAGCTCCATGAAGCTTGGTTTATGGTTGACGCATTCACTTTCCACTTGGTGATGCCGCTCGCGGATGGAACGCGCTTCACAACTTGCAGCGTTTAAGTCACTGCGTCTCGTTATTGGCGCTATTTAAACTTCTGCCCAGATGTGCTTACTTGTGCACCCGTGAGCCGTGGTTCCGCTGGAACGCGTCTGACCTCTGACAGACGCACTCTGAACTTCAGATCTTCAGCGCGCTGTTAATAGCCTGAATGGGAATCATTCCTTGATTTATTTAGTTACATCCACAATGTTCTGTGTGTGAGGTTTACAACGTCAGAACACCTGCATGAGACAGGTGTTAATTACAATCTGTCAGAATGACTCACCACCTTCAGATTCCTCCAACACCGTTAAAAATGATCAAATACGGAACATATCGGCGTGCGCAGGCCAGAGTGCTGAAGCTCGGCGCATTATTATTATGAAGTTAGGGCACATGTGGAGGACACACGCGCGAAAATATACTTGTTTTCAATTAAATTTATTGTGCCCAATTACTTTTTCTTAGGCCCACCCACAAATGAGTTTCTGGCTACGCTAATGGTGACATATGACAGACTTCTCTGAGCTCTGCAGCCATTACACTTTTTACCTTGCGCACCCCCTAGCGGCAGCTCGCGCACCCCTGGGAGTGCGCGCACCACACTTTGGGAATCCCTGATATAGAGAATTGCAGTAATCAAGCCTAGAAAGTACAAAAGCATGGAGTACCTGCTCCAGGTGGGCTCTCGACAGCATAGGCTTGATTTTTGCAAGGCGTCTCAGATAAATGAAACTGGACCGGATCACAGAGTTGATGTTCGCATCAAATTTAAGTCCAGCATCAATTTTCACCCCCCAGACTGGTGACAACTGGTTTTGAGTAGGGAGAAAGAGGGCCAAGATCAACGTAACGACCCACAGCCCTGCTATTGGGGGTGAAAAACAATGAGCTCTGTCTTTCCCTCATTCAGATGCAGATAGTTGGCCCTTAGCCAAGATTTCACCTCGTTAAGACGGAACACAAAGGACTGGATTGAGAGACCTTTCTCCTGACACAATGGAGAGTAAATCTGGCAATCGTCAGCATAGAGGTGGAACGCTAGGCCATGTTTACGAAAGATTGACCCCAGAGGAAGAAGATAAATGGCAAACAAAAGAGGACCAAGGATCGATCCCTGCGGGACCCCCCAGCGGAGCCCCTCCCAAGAAGAGAAAACATCACCCAGTTTAACACAGAATGTCCTGTTGTGGAGATACGATCTAAACCAATCCAGAGCAGACCCTTTGATCCCAACCCATCGTTCCAAGTGATCAAGCAGAATCGCGTGGTCAACTGTGTCAAAAGCTGCCGTCAGATCTAACAACAGAAGCACCACAGATGTACCCTGATCTAGTGATAGATAGATATCATTTAAGACCCTCAGTAGAGCCGACTCTGTGCTATGGCCAGACCTGAACCCTGATTGGAAAACCTGAAACAGATCAGAGTCAGCTAAACTTGAGACCAGCTGCTGATAAACAACTTCCTCAAGCAGTTTTGATGTAAAAGGCAGGGTAGAGAGAGGCCTGTAATTTTCTATCACAGAGACATCAGCACCAGGTTTCTTCAGGGTCGGCCGAACAACTGCTGCTTTCAAAGCAGCTGGGACCACACCTGTGCTGAGGCTCCAATTGATAATCTGACCAAGTGATGGGCCAAGGCACGGAAAGGCAGCTTTCCAGAGACGAGGTGGCAAAACGTCAAGTGGAGAGCCAGATGGCTTCTGCCTTGCAACAAGCTTACTCAGCTCAGAATAAGAAATGGCATTGAGGGAGCTCAGGGTGGATGGTGAAGGAGGAAGTGGAACAGAGTCAATAGAGTTACCAGAAATAGCTGCTCTAATGCCTGATACTTTGTGAACAAATAATTTGTGAAAATCTTCAGAGTTTCCAGCAGCTGTAGGAAACATGAAGCTAGGCTCCTGATTAGGGCTGCAACTAACGATTATTTTCATAATCGATTATTTTTTCGATTAATCGATTAATCGGTTCGTTATTGTTTAGCTATTTAACCTATACAAGTGATGGATGCATTTCAGTTAAGAAAAAAAATATAAGAAAATTGTGCAGTTGACTGCAATCTATTTTATTGCACATGAACAGTCAGCAGTATAAAATGAGCTAAACAGTGCAAAATATCAGTCCAGAATAATTTTTTAGCATTAGCTGGAAGCCTGCTCCTTCCACCATGGGTAGTGGCCTCATGTCTTTTACCAGCATGTTTAGAATAGAGTTTGTAAGTGGTATGAATTGCTGGGGGGTGAGTGTCTTGTTCCCCATGTAGTTGTCCATCGTTGCTTGTTTTTTTCTGCATAAGAAACACAAATAGACTGAAATAAGTACACATATAAAATATAGCAGCACACACACTACAACACTAAATCAATATTACATTATTTGAATTAATTAACAATATACAGTGATCATTTATTTTGAGGATTACGTTCTACAAAATAGCCCGCAACAGGAGATATTCAGAAAAAAAGTCTAATTTTTTTTACTATTAAAAAGCTCTAAGTAAGAAGCTCATGAGGTTTTTATTTTGAGTCGGGAGTGTTTAAATTAGCTAGAAAATGTGAAAAATGTTTATTTTGTGTAATACTGTTTAAGAAACATGATAAAATGTGTTGTGAGGCGTTTTACAGCGTTAGACAGTAAAACAGCCTTTTAATAGTAAAAAATGACTTTTTCTGAATTTCTCCTGTATTTAAAAATTGAAAGCGTACAACTATGCCGCGTTATATTCACCTGGACACAGCTCGTCTGTATATTTTTCTCCGCGGAGTTGTCCTTTTTTGAATGAGGAACATAGTTTTGGGTTTGTGCCATTTTTATCTTAACGAGAACATTCTTATAAACAGACGTGCTAAATTTGGCAAGCGCATGATACACAACACAGAGATTCACGATTGCATCTAGTCAATCAGAAGTAGAACACCGTAGACTGACGCGGCAAAAAAACATGTTTAACATCCACTATAACGAACTCAGCTAAAACACTAAGTCCAGCTTGTTTATTTTCTGTTACTTACCGGGCTGGCTCTTCCAAATGACGGCTCACTTGACCGCGGTGCTCTTCCTCTGCTGCATCAGCTCCCACATGTTTTCGTCTCAAATGTTCACTTAGGGACGTCGTGCTTCCGTGCCATGCTAGATGGTTTTTGCATATTTTGCAGGTCACCCGTCTTTTCAAGGCATCTAGAGTGAAGTCTGGGGTTTCTCTTCAGTTTTGTCGCTTCTATTTTTCTTCCGTATTTCTTCTTGTTCCGCCATCTCTCACAGCAAGATGAGCGTCAGTAACGTGATACGTCATGAAAACCGAGGGCACTCATTGGCTCATTTCATCTTCTACGGCTCCACTGGTAGATCAGTGGCTCATTACTGCCACACACTGGCGGCAAATTTAACAGATTGTAACCGATGTCAGATTGTGGTAAAAATAGACTTTATGCGGTAAAATATGATTATTAAACAACTAATCGATGACTAAAAAAGTTAACTATTTTAATAATCGATTATAATCGATTAAATCGATTAGTTGTTTCAGCTCTACTCCTGATACACCAGAACAGAGTTCAGTGTTTTGCAGATAATCTTGGGATTCTTAGAGTTTGTTTCAATGATGTCTGCAAAATATGCAGTTCTAGAAACCCTCACTGCATCCTGATAAGCAACCAGAGATGCTCTGAACAACTCACGCAAGACCTGTAGGCCATCCTTTTTCCACTTTCTCTCAGAGGATCTACAAGCCCGTGTGACATCAGAGAGCCAAGCCTCCCTCCTAGGCCTAGACTTGCAAAGCTTGAGAGGGGCAACCACATCCAGGACCTGATTAAAAAGTAAATCAAAGTGTTGTGAATAGTGATTAATGTTAGATGGATCTGGGTTAAAGGTCTCTAACCTTACAGACATACAGTCCATGAACATTGCAACAGTTTCTGCATCCAGGGCTCTGAACCTAGTAGCTGGTGCTTCACACACAGGGACAGGACATGGCAAAGTAACTTCACGAGTATTGGAGAATGGTCAGAGAACACAGGAGGCAAAGTTACAAGGTTCATAACAGGGAGACCAAAAGAGAGAACCAGGTCCAGGCTGTGGACTGTCCATAATGAACACCATGTTCAGACTTAAAGGTGTCCATATGTGCTCTTGGCACCAGGATACCTTAGGCCGCAGCTTGATGATCAACTTTGTTGTTGTTCCACCTGCGGCTGCATGTCTTGGACACTCAGGTGAAGAGAGGGGCGGAGCTGTCAACTGACCACTACCTGGTGGTGAGTTGGCTCAGATGGTGGGGGAGGATGCCGGTCAGACCAGGCAAGCCCAAACGTATCGCGAGGGTCTGCTGGGAACGTCTGGCAGAGTCTCCTGTCAGAAGGAGCTTCAATTCCCACCTCCGACAGAACTTCCAAAATGTTCCGGGGGAGGCGGGGGACATTGAGTCTGAATGGACCCTGTTCCGTGCCTCCATTGTTGAGGCGGCTGACCGGAGCTGTGGTCGCAGGATCGTCTGTGCCTGTCGTGGTGGCAACCCCCGAACCCGCTGGTGGACACCGGCGGTTAGGGATGCTGTCAAGCTGAAGGTCTTTTTGACCTGTGGGATTCCAGAGGTAGCTGATGGGTACCGGCAGTCCGAGCGGAATGCTGCTCGGGTGGTCGCTAAGGCAAAAACCCAGGCATGGGAGGAGTTATTTAAATAACAATATTCACTTATCACTTAGAGCAGTGGTTACCAAACTTTTCAGCCTGACCAACAGATGTTCCTTCGTATTTTTACGTTATTTAGAAACTTTCATTATAGTTGGAAAGATTTTATTTAAATATAAATATATAAAGCTCTTTTTAAATTTTATATTTTACTTTTTTATGATTATGTGACACACTTGAATTCCATACATAACGCATCGGCATCTGCAGGGCAGATCTCACGAGCCAGGTGCTCACACTGTACGACCCAGTTCTCGGATGCGACCTGACTGCTCACACTGTACGTCTGGTAGCAATACGTCAGCCCTAAAAATATGCTAAAAATAGCAGTTTTTACGCAACACTTTTTTGTCTTGTTTTGCCTGTTGTCCTTCGGGAGTGCTGCAGGAGGACACACAGCGATTTATGGGGGTTGGATGAGGAAAACGAAATAAAGTAAATCTGTGTTTTGTGATCAGTTTAATTTGACATGAACACGACAAACACGCTTTCTTGACAATCTTTGTGAGTAAAAAAAACGTGTAGAAATTAAAACGAACAGCGTGTGTTATTAGGGAAATAGCGGGGAGCGGCGTTGATGCATGTGCCGTGAGCGGTTCTGATACATTTTGGGTCGCAGCTGCTCGCAGCGCCGCTTCAACAGTGCAATACCCTCACGAGGGACGAGCGAAATATTAAACACTCCAGAAGTCCGTGCGACCTCACGACTGCTGATCGGCAGCTGGTCACGTGGTGTTAATCGCCTCTTGTAACCTCCTGTACACTACACAACCGCTCGGCGCAAAACTCGCCCCGATGTCGTGGATTCTCGCACGACTGGAAAATCGGCTCAAAAAAGTGAAAAAGTCGCACAGTGTACGCCCGGCTTTAACCAACATCAAACCCAACGTTTGGAGCTTGTAAACTCCACACACCTCTCGTGCAGCACCAGCTGTCTGATGCTGCAGCAGCGTCAATCTTCCCGGCTGGATGAGTGAATTTCTTCATCAGAGTCAATATTCTGCTTCATAATCAGAGTCAGTCATGACCAGACAAAGTGATCAGTCAACAAAGACCAGACCTGCCGGCAATTATACAGTTTATCTAATATTTGTGCTCTTCGTGCTCCACTTATCTCCTCCTCTCCCCGACTGGGAGCCTCTCGGTGGGAAGCGATTTTCAAACTCTAAAAACTCCCAAACTTTGCTCAGCCTGAAGGTTCCACATCTCCACTATCTTCTGATGTAAAATAGTAACTTCATGAGGGATCATATTTGTAGATGAGACTTGTTAAAGTCAGCAATGAGGCTTTGGTGCTTATAACGAGTAAATCCCAACACTGACAACAACGTACTGAAACTAGAACCAACACGCATAAACAGACAGATCGGTCCCGCCTGCTTACACTGTTGGTCTTTTTTAAATACGCAGTAATCGTTGCTTGCCTTTTTCGCTTCATCCTGCATCCTAGCAGCAACCACTTTGGCGCCTCTGGAGTCGGTGTTTGTTTACATCATGCTGCATTCTATGTAATTGGAAAGAGGAGCTTCAAGCGCTTAACCTCCGATTTTGCTTTCTTTCTGGCCTTAGTGCGGAGGACGGATCGGGGTCAATCTCAATCTGGGGGGGACAGATCCCCCCCCCCCCCTTCCCTGTCCCCCACCCTATCTGCGCACCTGCTTGGAACACCTCTTTGCAGCAGCTTTATGAATAGTTGACATGTTGGGGTTGAGTTTTTTGACCCAGGACACGGAGATTCAGTCTCAGACTTAGTTTTCCTTAAATAAACCCTGTTTGCTTTGATTTCCTAATCTCGGGCTCGAGAGATTCTGGAAATGAGAGAATTAACTGGCTGCAGACTGGTAGCTGATGTGAACGGAGAGTTGTGGCTTACTGTATTGTTGGTAGCTGAGGGCTGGAGGGGGAGGGAAGGAGTCAGATCTGAGGAGGTGGTGAGCTTGTAGGCAAGGTGGTGGCTTGAAGAGTCGAACAGGTTATTGTCCTGGACTTCAGGAAAGGTGAGCGGTGGGAGCGCAGGGCGGACGGGCAGCAGGCAGACGTGGGCTGAGGGTTAGGAACAATAATGAGCAAATTATGGTGAATGATGGTTGAAACAAGATAACTGTTAGAAGTCAGTTTACCGGGCTAGCTCTCACTCTTTAAAATCTCAGGGTTTGACTTGTAATCGGTATAGTGGGCGTGGCATTAAGTACCAACAAACACCCTTACTCTGTAGAGAGTTGAAATTACCCAGGGCTTCTAATTCTGACCAATATAATCTTTAAGTGGACACAAGGAAGACTTTAAATTACACCAACACACACACTTCCTATTCCTTCAGCTCATGTAAGCCTCAGGTCAAGACTCTAATCAGCTGTTCCTTTATGCTGAGGAAACAGCTAATTTAACTGTAGCAAAGGATGGTTTTAACACCTAATAGCATTCACCTTTGACTAGGATTATCGGTAAACTACCAGCACCTCACCTTTTCTCTGTAGATTACTGACAAGAGGAGACCCCCGGAGACGTGGAAACCTTTTACGTTCCTCACAGAAGAGAACCAAATTTTATTCCAAACACAGGTAAAAAATGAAAATCCTGTCGCAGCGGGTCACAGACAAGATCAAAAAACTTTCTCAGTAGAACAAGCTTCTGGCCACGCGCTGTCGAACTTTCTCTCCCTGCCTTTTTATCTCCTTCCTTCCCCCCTTCCTCTCTGTACTCTTCAGGGGTGCATCTCCATGCCCCCCCCCCCCCCCCCCCCCCCCCCCCGCTTCTGGGACTCCACGTCTGGTCACATGATCTTCCTCTTCAGGATTACCTCATCCCCTCTCTGGGATCATCCCCTCGGCAGGCTCTGCTGATTGGTTCCTTTCCGAATCCACCCATCTTTTCTACCTTTGCTCCTCTGGTGACCTGCCCCTCCTTTGTTTCGTTCTTTCTTCTCTCTGGCCTTGGGGAGTAATCAGTAAATCTTCTTTCCTCCTGCTTGTTTTAGCGATCTTATCGATTTTACGAGTACACGGTCTGTTTATTTACTAAATTAGCTCATGCACCTGGACTCTTTAATAAGATAAAAGACACAACTCCTGCCCCCCTCCCATCTCAAGATGTCAGAAAGGTTACATCAAAACCATGAGACCGTACCAAATCATAAAAATTTACAACCTCAGGGTGAAAACAGCAAAGACACACACAGACTTTTTAAGCACAGGAAAATAGCCAGCAACAAATTGGCTTCACAGAACTGAGGACTAATCCAGACCTGATTTTGAAATGAACAGGCCCGAGATTATTCCTTGTTCAACAATAACTGAGACAATGAATGAAATGCTGGAATGAAGCACATAGAGACTGAGGAGTTCTGGTTTCTGTATTTGGTCACGATCTCCTTTAGGGCATATATACACATGTTTGTACCACGCTCAGACTCAAAGCCAAACTGACTGCCTGTGATTTTTAAGGCGTCATTAATTCTGTCCAGCAGAATTCTTTCCAAGACTTTTGAGAGAGTGCTAGCCAGAGCAATGGGCCTATAGGTATCCATGCTACCACCTCTCCCACCCTTATCTTTCATCACTGGGACCAACTGAACAGCTAGCACTGAATCAGGCAAACATCCATGAGCAAGAAATTATGAAATGCATATAGCAAGGAGTGGTGCTAACTACTGCTAGCATACCTTAGGTGTTCAGCAGGTATGCTAGCCAACCCAGTGGCCATAGATGAGCCTTGGTTTTGCGATGCTCCAGTCAGCAGCAGCAGCATCTAACAGGGAGAGCAATGGGGGGTAATGTCCATTTTTTATATGTTGATGGTAGGACTGGGAAACGAACCGAAAAATTATCGTTATCGAAATTTCTGACTTATATTGAAATCATTTTTCCCGTCAATAAATTTGATAATAAAAAAAATGAAAAGATGTATGTAGCTTGGCAACGTTACCTTTAAGAAGCTGATCCAGAGGGTAGATTTATAATGTTAAAAATATCTGTACAGAACCAAAGCTTATGTATTGTCAGCATATACTGTCCAAATATTGATGACCCTCCATTCTTTCAGAATTTTTTCTCTGTACTCTCCGAACACTTGGACTGTCCACTTATACTTGGAGGTGATTTTAATTTTTGGATGAATTCCTTAACAGACAGGCTCAGTACAGCTGGGACTCAGCGCAATTGGCAATCCACTAATATAGTTAAACAGTACATGAGTGATTATGGGCTTTGTGATGCATGGCGATCTCTTCATCCTAACCGTAGAGAGTATACTTTTTTTTCGCACGTTCATCACTCTCACTCACGTTTGGATTATTTTCTAATCAGCAGCTCATTGTTGGCTGACATTTCAGACACTGAGATACATCCCATAGTTGTCAGCGACCATGCTCCGGTTTCTTTA